TGTAGCTTTATAATAAGTCTTGAAGTTGGCTACTGTCAGTTGGCTACTGCCCCTTCAATATTGTGTCAGTTATTCCGGGTCTTTTCTCTTTCCATGTAAACTTTAGATCAATTTATCAATATCTAAAACATATCTAACTGGGACTGCACTTGATTGGGACGGCATTCAATTTATGTATCAAGTTGGAAATAACTGCCAACTTAAAAAAAAAAATGAGTCTTTCTATCCATGAACATGGAATATCTCTTTATATACCTTAAAGTTTAAAGAAAAATAACAATTACTGGAATCCATTTATATTTTATCACTTCAGAATTAAAATTTCAAAAAAAAAAAATGATGTGTTCTGACCCCTTTGCCAACTTTCCTAGCTGTGTATAAATACATACTTACCAGTTATGTACCACTAGCTCATCAGTATTCTCAAAGGTCAGGTTACTCCTTTTCTCTCCTGGTGTCTTAACATTCTGTAACACAAAGGTTGAAGGAAGAAAATAGAGTATTTGTCTCTGTGTTGGGCTTCAACACACATTCTTGTCCTTGAATGCCTCAGGGCTGCACCAGAATAAGACTTCACTTTATTCCCCTCCTTTCAACTTGGGAGCTGGTAGATGCTAACAATACTGGATCACAGTTTCTTTGAAGTCCAAGCCTAAGACCTGTGATCTTTTCCTCGTCTTTTGTTCAGGCCACTTGAGGCTGCACGCAATGAGGATGGTCCGAGACCTCTCCTAAGGAAGAGACAAAGCTAGATTTCTTTAACAGTACAGAGAATTGTAAATGACGCTAGCATTTTTGAAAACCGAGAAGTACTCCTTGATCACCTGACCTTATTTCTATTATTTCACATGCGCTCTTATATTTCTTCCTTTTATAGTTTAACTAGATGGGAAAAGGATAAATATTTAAAACCCAGATGACTTTTTTTCTCATGAAACTCTCCAGAAATAGAAGAGTTGTACCCATAAATCTGCCTAATAATGACCCATTAGTTCTGCTCGCTCTTGGGGGATCACATCCCTGTATAAGAAACATTGAGTTTTTTTTGTAACTTCTCAGGTGGGGAACAGAGAGAGGCATACCCATGTGCAACATGGTGTAACCCCAATGCATTCTTTCTGACTAATCCTTTGCTTACTTTCAAGCTGTGTCCGACTAAGTTTCTGCCCTTTCCTGAGAAAAGACCCTCCTTTCTTTCCAACTATTTCACTACCTTCTAATACACACTCATTTATTTCTCTACCCTCTCTCTCCATCTCTCCCCACCGTAGTCATGGGATATATACTCCAAAGAATGAAGGACAGCACAGGCTTCTGCTCTGACTCTGCCCCAACCTTCTCTTACTGTTCCAGTCAATCCTAAACATGTATCAACTACTCCTGGAAGATGACACAATACTTAAGACCACCCACATTATGTCCTTCTCTAAATAAGGAAGGAAAAATTTAGATGTACCTAGTACTATTCTGAAACCAATATATAATCACCCACACTTTCATATGAAAGATAAAGAGGGAAAATGAAGGAGGGAAGAGGAGAGGAAAGGGTAGAGAGGGGGGAGGTTGGATGCAGGGAGGGTCATTGGTGGGACCACACCTATGGTATATATTGCAAGGGCACGTGTCAAATCTATTAAGTATGGAGTATAAATGTCTTAACACAATAATTAAGTGAGGTGAAGGCTATGTTAACCAGTTTGATGCAAGCATTCCAAATTGTATATAAAATCAACACATTGTACCCCATAAATGCATTAATGTACACAGTTATGATTTAATAAAAAACTTTAAAAAAGGAAAAAAAAATTACAATCATGAAGTTTTAAGCTAATAATAAAAACAAATAGACAAAGATGAAGATGTTCATTTGTTTTTCACATCCTGAGTTCTTTTACGTTCTAAAATATAACAGTGACTTAAATAAGTTTTATTAGATTCTTTGAAGAATAAACAAACTGTATATTCCTTATTTCTTGGTAGAGCCATGTAAAGCCAGATAGCAGGAAATATGGAGTATAAATGTCTTAACACAATAATTAAATAAGTGAGGTGAAGGCTATGTTAACCAGTTTGATGCAAGCATTCCAAATTGTATATAAAATCAACACATTGTACCCCATAAATGCATTATATACACAGTTATGATTTAATAAAAAACTTTAAAAAAGGAAAAAAAAATTACAATCATGAAGTTTTAAGCTAATAATAAAAACAAATAGACAAAGATGAAGATGTTCATTTGTTTTTCACATCCTGAGTTCTTTTACGTTCTAAAATATAACAGTGACTTAAATAAGTTTTATTAGATTCTTTGAAGAATAAACAAACTGTATATTCCTTATTTCTTGGTAGAGCCATGTAAAGCCAGATAGCAGGAATTAGGGACCCCTCACCTAGCCCCATTAAGTAGCAAAGTTGTGTAGAAACTTCTAGAGCAACAAAAACTTTCACGTTCAACATTATCATTTAGAAGGGAATTTAAAAAAATATTCTTTCTTGACCTAGATCTGGCAAACCAAGTTTTAAATTCTAAAATGGTTGTATCATCCCAGGGCTCATACCCACTGAGTGTACCAGCTGCTCTAGGGAAGCCCAAGTGCTTTGGGAAGGAAATTGTTGATTCAAGAAACTATTTTCCTGAGTCACTCACCACACCCCCTATTCCACCCTGGACTTGGGAGAGGCCTTAGTTAATTCACCACAGCACCGGTATTGTCTGGACCTTTGGGGAAGCCAACTTTCTCGGCACTTGGTATGTTTCTTGGACATATTTTAAGCCACCTTCCATATTGGTTTGATAAACATCCATGCCTGGCACTTCATTTTCAAAGAAAACTTATTTTCTTTCTTGAATTCTGATGAAGTCTTCCTGGCAAGCTTGCCTCCTAGTTTATTTTATAAGGGAATATGATTCAGAGGCTTGCTTGGAGTGAGGGGCATCCCGCCAGTCATGATGGGAAACATTAAGGAAAAAGTGGTTTTTATTTTTAATTTTTTGTAACTTTTTGGTAACATTTATAACGATAGAAGAATTTCCATTACAGGCAGGGCACTCTCAGGATCCTTTTCCAGGCCTGCTAATTGTGGCCTCTGGCCCCCTCACCCCCTCCTCCCTCTGTTCTTCTCTCTACCCCTCACCCCTCCTCCCTGACTTCCCCACCCCCACCTTATATAGATAAACAGGGTGTCCACACTGATGGTGTAAACCAGACTTTCCCAGTGGAGACCTGGTTTTGTGCTGCTAGAAAGGAGAGGAAGGCCTCTTTCTTCTGGAACACTCCATCATTCCAGGGCACTAAGAAACTGGACTGTGTCAAACTCCACTCTCTTTTTGTGCTTAATTAATGTGGAAGTTCCTTCTTCTTGGTCATCTAAGGTCCAAGGGTCATCTAATGTGCCCGCATGAGATGGCAAGTTGTGGAGGAAGAGAATCCCTGAGCCACTAGGATGTGTTTCGGCTCGGGGCTCTCCTGGTCCTCCCATTCTGACCATGGAGGGCCTTCAGATCATTTTGATCCACACGTGCTCACTTCTCCAAGGAAAACTTTCCACAGAGGGTGAGAAGCTGGGAAAACTGCTGGAAGAAGTTAATCTTCAGTTATAGACTGAGACAGGAATTTTTGAGTGTAAGAAGAGACTGAAATAAAAGCAAAAGGGGAGACCCAGGAGGCTTCCCTGGGGGCTTCCTGGGGGCTCCTCCCCTCTCAGTGTCAGCCCCACAGCACCTGTGCCTCTCCCCACTCCTCACCTGCCCTGCGCCCCGCCAGAGATGGGCTTTGTGATGTAAGGAGAGATGGCATGAAGGAGGAGGGAGAGAAAACTCTGTCCTGCCAGTATTCAAGGACCTCCTACCCAGTGTCACCTGCTACCATCATCCACGTTCTCTCCCAACCTCTCTCTCCAGCCTAGTCAACCCTGAGTCCCCTGAGCCCTGTCCTCTGCCTCCATCCCTCCACTTAAGCCCCATCGCCCTATCCCAGGCCTGTCCTGTGCTTCTCCACCACTCCTGGTCCCCTGAGGACCCTCTGGCTTCTCCCCCTTTGCTTTCTTCAAGGTCTCCAACCAAAGGGCAAATGAGCATCACCAACTGGCTTAGAGATGGAAGAGGCAGGGATCTCCAGATCCCCAGCTGGAAACGTTTGAAAGTATTTCCTAACATTAATACTTCATGTTTCTCAGTAGTGGAGATGCAGGTCGCATCTGCAGCTTAATTCATCCCAACATCAGCCATACTGTGGCTCAGAGTCACTCCCGTGGGCTGAGTTGGTTGCCTATCTGCCCCATGACATCACTGCTATAGGAAAAAGTATGCCGAGTCCCAGAAAACCTTACAGGTCACCTTACCCCTCATCAGCTTGCCCTGTTTTACCTCTGCGCTCCTTACGGACTTACACAAACTAAGTTTTCCACATCAGTCAAGTTCTTTGTGAGTATATACAGAGAAAAACCTCCCAGTTCACTGAGCTTAACTGGATGGGTAAGACTGAGCCACTTTAAATCCCTGGAAAGTGCAGGGCCTGGAAACAATCTATATTTTTATTGTTTACATTTCCAAGGCATCATTGGTGTGGCAGTGTTCCAAACAGGTAAATAAGAAAACAAAACTACCTGTCGGATCTATTAGTAAGTAAACGAGATGAGATATACATTAACCAGTGTGATGTCAGCGGTAGTGATTCTATATGAAATCAGCACCTTGCACCCCCCAGATGCTTTAATGCATAGGTCATGTATACATGAGCTATGTGTTTATGATTTAATAATAAAAATAAATAAATTTTCAAACTTTAAAAAAAAAGTTTTAACCTGAAGTCTCAGTATTGTTACTGGTGACCTCTAAGCCAGCCTGGAAAGAGGGAAGCCAAGCTCGTTTCAAACTTTTTTGGACGTCTTTGGATCACGTGTTACTCCCCTTTGTGGGCTTTTTTCGCTGCAGGGGAAAAGCCGCACATTGACCGTTTCTTGTCTCCTGTTTTCTCTTGTGTGCATTTTATAAACAGCGGGTCACAGAAAGTCGAGAGAGCCAGATGACCATTGAGGAGAGGAAGCATCTGATCACAGTGAGGGAGGAAGCCTGGAAGACCAAAGGCCGGGGCGCAGCCAACGACTCCACCCAGTTTACGGTGGCTGGCAGGATGGTAAAGAAAGGTCAGAGATGAGTGTGTGTGTGTGTGTGTGTGTGTGTGTGTGTTACCATCACCTCCATAGGGCATGCGCACACGGGCTGCCCCACACTGCTGAGGACACTCGCCCGTGCCCCAGGGAGGTGATGGTTACACATGGCTTAATTTAAAAAAAAAAAAAGCCATCATCTTTTAGATTTTTAAACTTACTGACATCACATAAATGTTGGTTTTATGAGATTAAAAACTGCCTGTCTTCAGTGCCATAGTCAACATAAAACACATAATTCATTTTGTCACTATTTCATTTTGACCCGTTTGGAAAGAGAGTACAATTGTAGGTTTCAAAAGCATTTGCAAATCTGCTACCAAATCATGGTCTTTTCCCATAATTTCTTTTAAACGGTTCCTGTTTTCTTGTGACAGGACAACCCCTTAGCCCAGGTGAGCCTTTCTCAATAAAGAAGTTTATCTCGTCTCTCTTTCAGGTTAATTCCTAAGTCCCTTTCCATTGAGCCAGATTTCTCTGGCTTACAAAGGCCGATTTCGAGACTTTCTAAGCACCAGGGACCAGTTTCATGGAAGACAATTTTCCACAGACCGGGAGATGGTTTCAGGATTATTGGAGAAATTTACATCTCCACCTCAGGTTATCAGGTGTTAGATTCTCATAAGGAGCTCACAACCCAGATCTCTCACACACAGTTTATGGCAGGGTTCACGCCCCCGTGAGAATCTAATGCTGCTGCTGATGTGACACAAGGCAGAGCTCAGGTGAGGCCAGTGACAGGGAGCGGCTGTAAATACAGATGAACTTCGCTCATTGGCCCATCCATCGCTCTCCACCTGTTATGCAGCCCAGTTCCTAACAGGTCATGGAACCTATGGGTACCAGTCCACAGCCTACAGGTTAGGGCTGCAGCTTTAACAGCTGTCTAGAGAGTGTATCCAGGGAGGTGGGATTTCCCTGCTGAAGGTCATTCCCTGGCAGCCCAAGTCTCAGAGCTGATTTGAAGACTGCATGCAAAGATTTGGGAAATTGACATACCACATGTTAGTAAAGTCTCAGAGAGGTTTGAGGCACCGTGGGGGTGTTGGGAGTTTTTATTTCATATTCTGCAGGAAATGATTAAAAGGTGGAGTCCCTTTGTTGCCAATATACGTAGCCCTTTATTTTCTAAGCTGTTATTTAAAAGCATATTTCTAACTTAGTAGTAAAAGTGTTCACATTCACTTAGTCTTCACATACGTATAACTTTGTTTCCTTTTCATCAAAACCCTCAGGGATCCTGACTCTTACAGTACTTAACTCACTATAGGCGCATAATAAAAGTTTGCGGAAGGAAGAGAGGCAGGAAGGGAGAACCCCGAGTGGCGATTCACTGGAATCTCAGTGGAAGAATCCTTCCTAACAAATCCGTTCTCCCCTCTCCTTGGAATTGTCAAAGGATAACAGAACATAATCTGCTCTCACAGAATGAGGCAGCATTTGATTGCTTTCTTCCTCAAATCACAGAACTGTCTGAGAATCCTTCAACTACTCTAACAAGTCCCCTATCCCTCTGTTAACACACATATACCCTCAATCAGGCACAGATTGCTGAACTAGAACTGGAGCCGAGAACTTGAACCAGAGCTCAGATTTCCCACCTTCTAGCCTAGACTTTTGTCCTGATGACTTGTTGCTTTGGTTTCTTTTCCCTTCTCTAGTCTTAAAAATGGTAATGCATTTGTCAGGAGGCCCTTACTACCAAATAGCCCTCCCCTTGACCCCCTTGATAAAGCAGAGAAAGCCGATTGCTCTTGTGCAGGTTTGGAGAAGGAATAGTTTCTATCCCTCGGGGCTTGGGTTTGCTTTCACATTTTCCTAAATAAATTGGGAATTTTTATTGAACATGCTCTATGGCTTGTTCAGGAAATAATTTTCTTGTGCTTTTAATCTAATGGAGAAACTGTATCCTAGATTTCTAATTATTCGCGATCACCTGCTGGGCTATATATTTCACCTGGATCATTAGCTCTTTTTGGTGTGTAGTAATATGGCATCCGATTTACATTCCCGGCAGAATAAATCAGCTTTCTACAGGACAGCAGCATCAGAACCATCAGGCAATCAGGAGTTACCACCTCTCGGTACGGCAGGGGGCACACAGAACCTGATGCCCATTCCCTCACCCCAGAAATGTCTCTTCCCCCCGAGCCCCATGAGGACTTTTCCCCTTTTCCATATTCCTAGAGTCTTTGTAACAATTAGCACCCCACAGGTTTCTGTGGTATTCTAGGACTCCCCTGGAAGAAGAGTATTCTAAGTAGGCCTTTGAATAAGAACAACATGAAAACATTCCCAAAGCAAAGCAGGTGCCTGGTCACTGCATCTAGAGTTCATTGAAAAGAGGCACAGGGGAGGGCTTGGGTCGTGTCTTGCTCCAACTCCAGGGGCTCCTTTTTTAAAAATTCGTATTTCTTACAGTGCCACTGCCTGAATGGTCAGCAGAGGGGGCCAGAGGTGCAGGGTTTGCCCAGCGCCCCTGTGAACAGAGGGACAGTGTCTCTGGTTGCTTCGGAAACCAGCCTTCTGAGTTGGTCCCATTTGTTAAAGAGCTCATGAGCTCATCTGATAGCTCTGAAGCATCCTCTCAGTGGGTAATGATACGCTGCCCCATCCTGTAATCCAAATTTTATTTATCTTTATTATCTTTTAAGAAAATATATCTCTCACGAATATAAACTCTTTGCAAATCTGCAAAGTGAAACAAATTTTTAAACTTTCATTGATATCATCCATCAAATATACGTACGTAAAGAGAAGAGCTTCGAGACTGTTCCCTGACACTTCGGGTTTTATAACTCATCGATATTTTTCCTTCACTTTGTAAGGCTGTGCTAGTTACCTCTCCAGTTCCCAGGAGGAAGGAGAGCACTCATTCATTCATTCATTCATTTACTTTTTCTTTGTAAGTAATACTGATTTGAACACTCTCCAGATGTTCTTCTCCCAAGGATGTGGAAAGTGGCAATTCCATCTGAGGATTTCATATTTATCACAGATGAACACAAAGAACATCTGTATCTCTTTTTGTTTTTTTTTTTTTTTTTTGTAAATGCGTCAATTACTTCCCTTTTCCACCCTCTTTACTTAGCTTAAGATAAAATACTGTCTTTCTCTTTACTGAGTTTTCTTGTTCCGGCCAGATAACTTCTCTATGCTACAGTTCCTTTCTTTCCCTTGTGTAAGTCCTTTACATTTTGCCCTCGTGAAAATTCCCACCCTACTTCTAGATAAATATAGGAGAGAGCTGAGCACCACTTTCCAGCCATTCCAGAAAGGTTAGGACCCTCCCACCACTACAAATCAGTTCCAATGAATACTGGTCTGTGTCTTTCTTCTGAAAGGTTGACACCCCTGGGGTTACTGTTTGTATAAGGGTCCCAAGGCCACTGCGCCTCCCTCCAGTGCTGGGGGCCAGTTGCTGGCTGGTCTGATACAACAAACTCTCAACTTCCTCTACGGAGATGGTGAAATGTACTTTCTCCTCAATTACCCCAGGCATCCCCAAAGGGCCTTCGTAAGTTACAACTCCGTTTGTTCAAGTTTACAGGCTGTGGACATGTTTTTCTGATCCTCCATTGTTCATCTTGGAATGTTGGCTTGTCAGCTACTACAGTCCTAGGAAACCACAAACTCCTATCTACATTTGTGGTTGTACCACGTAGGTGTAATACCTACCGAAAGCACCTGTGTGTGTATGCATGAGTGTAAATTCTTACACATCATACAGTCTACACTGGTAGTCATGGAGATCCGTCAGGTCCTGGAGGTTTCTGGAAGTGATCCCTAGAAGCTCAACGGCCCCTTTGTTTATTTTGCAGGTTTGGCGTCACCCACTGCCATAACCCCAGTGGCATCCCCCATTTGCAGTAAAACAAGGGGGACTACACCAGTTTCCAAACCCCTAGAAGGTAAGTCACCAAGCCCAGCACACCGAGGGGATTCCGGCCAGAAGGAATCCTTAGTGACACTCTCTCACTCACAATTTCTACTTGCCCAGATATTGAAGCCAAACCAGAGATGCAGTTGGAATCCGACCTGAAGCTGGACAGGCTGGAAACCTTCCTGAGAAGGCTGAATAATAAAGGTACATGCCAGAAGTCAGAGGATATCACTGTCAAAATCTCCAAATCCAAATAATTCTGTTTTCTTTTTTTTCCTCCCAGCTAAATTATCTTCTTTCTCTTATGGATTTACTAATTCTTACTGTAATCATTATCTTTGTTGATGCCTTGAGGTTTTAGTCAAGACTATTTGGATTATTAAGCCTCAATTCACTTGACAATGTACTAAAGTAGAGACTCCCAAAACCCTTGGGACGTCACCCAGTCAGAATTGGAAACTCAGTGGTTTTCCTTATAACCCTGGAAACAGGTTATTATATCACATATATGCAAGGCCAATCGGATCCTGAGCTGGCCTGGTAAACTTTCAAGTGTAGGTATCAGTTTCCAGTAAGGTAAAAGCTGGTACTATTTCTTATATTTCTTTATGATTTCCAAAAGAAAACTCTAGAAAATACATGTTAGAATAAATACTTCAATATAAGAGACAATGAAGTACACAAAATACAAGAATGATATGCAGTAATAGCCTTTTGTCTCTTGGGGAAAAGGTCCAGTACTTGAAACTTACCAAATACTGGGCCCTGGGAGTCCTTGCTATTACAGTGACCCTGAAAAAGATGAAAATAATACAAATAACTACTATTAAACAGACATATTGAAGTATAAGGTAATAATAACTAAGCTGGCTAAGCAAGGAATTAAAACAACAAAAAAATGTATTTCGTGCATTTAAACAATATCCTAGCCCATGTGGATCAACAAACAGTAGCTACGGCCAGATGAGGTGTGTACCTGTTTTTGTAAATAAAGTTTTATTAGAACACATCCATGCCCATTTGGGGACCTGTTTTCAGCAGCTACTTTTGCACTACAACAGCAGAATTGAGTAGTTGCAATGTAGGCCACATGCAGCACCCCGCCTCACGTCCCGCATATACAACCTAAAATATTTACTGCTTGGCCTTTTTTGGAAGAACTTTGCCAACCCTGATGTAGAGTGAAGCTGAGCCCAGTTCTACCTCCAGTTGAAACTGCTAAGAGGTTAGAATTGTTTAGTGAACTCATGGGCAACAAAATGAGCCTCCTGCCTCCCACCTTTTTACCAAGCAAGGCTGTTCAAATGGGACGTCCTTATGTGAGACGTCGTACAAGGGCGCAGGAAGCAACCAGAGGAGTTTGTATAACACTGTTGTGTTCTCTCCACGGGGGAATAGCTTTTAAAGTAGTAGGAGGCATAGTTGGAGTCAATTGTTTTTCTGAAACTCTTTTTGTCACCTGTTTGTCCCTTGACAGTTGGTGGGATGCAGGAAACGGTGCTCACTGTCACCGGCAAATCTGTTAAAGAGGTGATGAAGTTGGATGACGATGAAACTTTTGCCAAATTTTACCGGAACGTGGATTCTAACATACCAAGAAGCCCCGTGGAGGTAGACGAGGACTTCGATGTTATTTTTGATCCTTATGCACCCAGGTGAGTTCTTCTGGTCTCCATCTTTCTCCCACCAGGAATGGCTTCCTTCACTGCCTCCCCATGGCGCTCTCACCAGGATTCCCCCGCATGGGATCTTCTTCTGCAGTAGAGCCTCTTATTTCTCTAGAGCCGGGCACACAGTGCAGCGGGGTCGATAAAACACGCAGACCCCAGCCCAGATGTGGCTTCAGGCACCTGTGCCACAGATGTTCGTCCGGTTCCATAAAGATGGTGTCGCCGGATTTTCCACATACCTTGAATATTGTTTTGCAACTGTTTAGATTACTATCACTCAGTAGAGATTTCTACACCTGTCTTTCATTTGACATATTGGATTCTTACTCATAACTTTGAAAAATATTTGGATGACAGGGCCTCAAATTAGGACAGTGAACTAGAAAATCAGGAAAGAATGTTACTCAGCTTACAAGCAGGAGATCTGAGGGTTTCTTAGTGGTGTCTAAGTCCAAGAGTCTCTCTTTACATGAGAACATGACTAACCCACCGAACCTTGAAAAATGATTATGGCCTTAGAATTCTTTCAGTTGCCAGTGTCAGAGGAAAATGCCAAGCCTGACTTTAGCTAAAGAAAGGTGTAGGGAGATTTGCAGGCTTGCTTGCTGAAAAGTGCAGGTGTGACCCCAGATTTGGCTCCTCAGAACATGGTCTCTCTCTCTCGGCTGTTTTTCTTTGGGGTGGCCTCACTTGCCATCAGGCTATGACCAGCTGGTGACAGAAGTTTCCCTGCCTCTGGATTCACAGGCTACACACTTGGCCAACGCAGCACAAGCCTTCTCTTCACAGTTGTCCCAGCAGAGGTTCTGCATTTGATGTTCATGACTCCAGTTTGAGCCCTAAGTTCATCCCTAAGCCAATCACCGTAGCCAAAAGGATAGAAGACCCTGACTGGCCAGAACTGTATCACCTGCAGAGCCATCGTGGGGGTGGGGTCAGGTGGTTTCCAGGAGGAAAACCCAGATGCTATTACCAGAAGCAGGGAGGTGTCTGCTGGGGAAGCGAAGCCCACAGCAATCTACCACGTGGATTTGCTCTTTCCTAGGAAGTTATCAGAGTGACTGTCTCTTCCATCATCATACATTTTTTCCAAAAGCCTTCCTGATACACTTTTTGCATATTTCATGTTGTTTCAATTTCTTACCTTAACAAAAATGAATATTTGATTTCCCACATCAAAGTAATATTTTGGGGGCAGGCACAGTGGCTCACACCTGTAATCCTAGCACTCTGAGAGGTCAGCGATCACCTGAGTTCGAGCAGGTTGAGACCAGCCTGAGCAAGAGCGAGACCCCCATTTCTACTAAAAAAGACAACAGAAAAATTAGCTGGGCATTATGGCAGGCACCTGTAGTCCCAGTACTCAGGAGGCTGAGGCAGGAGGATTTGCTCAAGCCCAAAAGTGTGAGGTTGCTGTGAGCTCTGACACCCCAGCCCTCAACCCCAGGGTTGAATGAGACTGGTTCCAAAAAAAATAGTATTTTGGAATTTGCACACAAATAGTTGCCTAAGCATTTCTCAGACTTCTCCCCAGCCAGTGTCGTTGTTTAAATTGTTACATATAATAACTTAAGCATGTATTTGTGTACTTGCCCAGACCTGGGATGGTGTCATAAGAGACCCTAACAGGTGGAAGCTATCCACTGCGAGATCACGTAACTGGGGTGTGCCCACCTCCCTAAGTCTGGTTTTCCAGCCTGAAGTGTTGTGAGGGAGCAGAGTAGTCACAGGTGGCTTTGTGGAGCCTATTTTCTTTCAGTAGACTCTCCTAAATTGTGGTTATTTTTCAGAGAGAGAAAAGGGGTTGAGTGGAGGCGAGTCACAGAAGGATGAGGAGGGAACAGAAAGGCTCTTACAGAAGGAAAAAGTGTAGTCTGGAGCAAAACTGATCAAATCAAGGAGCAAGGAAGGGCTTGCCAGAGACAAGAAGGAGATCTGGGTGTGGGATTCCAAAGAGAGAATTAGAACACGTGCATGGCGTGATGAGGAGAGGGAAGAGCTCCCCCACCCCTACAGCTGCCTGGAGGTTCTTGATGCCCCTCTGGGCAGATGCCCAGGGACGTGAGTGCGTGGGGGCATCTGGGAATGGCTGGGATGTGAACTCTGTGGACTTGAATCTTCCTTCCATCTCCACGATGCTGAGACTCCATGCCTGGGGAGTAGCCATGAAGCAAAGAGCTTTAAGATTTATAAGGAAATCTGAAAATAAAATTACAAGAACCTGCAATAAAGCAGGCAAGGTTGGAATCACAGGCTAAGACCCGGGCTCTGCTTTGCTCCACAGATTGACGTCTTCCGTGGCTGAGCACAAGCGCTCAGTTAGGCCCAAGCGCCGGGTCCAGGCTTCCAAAAACCCGCTGAAGATGCTGGCGGCAAGAGACGACCTCCTGCAGGAGTATACTGAGCAGAGACTTAACGTGGCCTTCATGGAGTCAAAGAGGATGAAAGTGGAAAAGAGTGAGTGCTGGGGGCCGCCAGGTGCTGGCGAGCTGCTTATTCCCTTACTTTCATCATTTCTTGTTTTTCTGCCTTGCGAAAAACACTCATGAAATAAAAATGAATGAGGTTTCACACACACTTGCACACCTGCCTGGAACTTAAAGGTTCTTCCCAGAAACTCTTACAGGGTGAATCATCTACTCAGTTGGTTCATTCAAATTATTCTGTTGGTTCAGTCGCCTTTCGGGAGGTTGGAGGAGAAGGACGTGTGTGGGTTATTGTGATTCCGCCCACTTTCGGCTCTGTAGATCCACATTTCTCCACTTCATTTTATTCAACAGTAAAGTGCTTGATCTCTCATGGGAAAACGGCCCCCATGACTGCTTTTTCTGATCCTGCATTTTTATATTAATACAGAAGCCAGCCCTTCTCAAGTTGATCTTGGTAGGCCCCCTCAATGGGCTGTGGGTTGGATGGAGGGGGGGGTATTGGGAGCTCTGAGGAAGCAGCTTGTAGGGGCTTTCTCCCACTTTAGGCTGAGCCACACTGCTCAGTGACGTGGGCTTCCATAGTTCAGAAACAGCACATGTAATCCTGAGAGTTTCAATATTCTTGCTGTAATTTTCATTTTTCTACAGCACTCATAAATCTATTTCCTAACCTTTTTCCTAGAAATATGTTAAATAGCATTTACATGATGTGGTTGAGGCTCTTGGTTATAACTCGTTTCCTAAGAAAATATCTTCCAAAATCGCCACGCCATATGAATTGTCAACTATTTTTCTTCAAACCTAATCCTAGCGAAATAACTGTATATATACATTTTTAAGAACATTAAGTTGGAGACATAAAGGTTTGTTGGCACAAGTTTTACACACTCTTCCCCTGCCTCCACTTTTGGGGGCTCTGGGGATGGCTTGATGGGGCCTGATCCACCCACAGATGTCTGTTGGTATGCTTCGAAACCCAAGGGCTTACTGCCTTAGGTCTGCGAGCAGAAGGTCTCGAGTGTCATCTAGTTGATCACTTTGCCACCAGAAGAAGATTAGATCCTAATCATCCCTTACGGAGTGTCCTAAGAGACGCTTGGTGACAGACGTCCAATAGTCATCCCTGGGGATACAGTCCAATGTCGCAAAGTTGTTAGTATTTCTAATGACTCTCTGTGCAACTGCATCATGAGTTTAGCTCCTGGTTTCCTAGGAAGGTAGTTGATCCACACTGTCGCTCAGTTCTTGTCCCTCGGCATGGTGAGGTGTGACTCCTGCCGACAAGCCTATCAGGACCGTGTCTAATCGTTAACGCAGTGTCTAAGCTTTGCATGGCATGACGTTTCTGGTTGTAAGTCCTGTCCCTTTGACTAACACTCCTGCCTCCCCCCGTGTTGTGTTTCCTTGTTTAACCTGCCCAGGGTCCTCCAATTCCAACTTCTCGGAAGTCACTCTGGCAGGGTTAGCCAGTAAAGAGAACTTCAGCAGCGTCTGCCTGCGGAGCGTCAACCTGACGGAGCAGAACTCCAACAACAGCGCGGTGCCCTACAAGAAGCTGATGCTGCTACAGATCAAAGGTACCGCGGGCAGCCTGGAGGAATTGCACGTTGACCAGTGGTTTTCACCTGGCCACGTCCCAGTCCTGACTACTCCCCGGATTCCCTGCACGGGGACGGGAGTGCAGGCTTTTTGAGAACCTCCTGTGTGCCGCGTGCTGTGCCACCCCCTCTCACTTGAGTGTCCCAGAATTCCATGAGGAAGGAAATATTATGCCCACGGGGGGCTTGGGAGATTCGTAACATGTCCAGCGTCACAGCAGATGCCAAGTGGCAGGGCTGGATTCAGACCCAGGAGTCCCCCACTCTGGAGTCCCAGGCTCTACACCTGCCTTGCCCTGCCCTGCCCCACAGCCCAGCCATACATGGTTCCCAGTGTCACCAGAGTGGCTCTCTGCTCTCTACTTACTTCTCCACGTGGAGATAAGAAAAAGACAGCGCAGGCCAGAGGGAGAAAGGCAAATTCTTAGGGAAAGAATCAAGGGAAGGTGGGAGAGAAGGAAGCCCCCCTGGGTTCCACTGGCATCTGCATCCTACTGGGCTCTGAAGAGAGAATGTGGCTGCCTCCTGGTGTCCAGCCTCTAGAGGTGACTCCTCAGGAGGACAGTGGGTGAAATATTCTGCCTTCCTGATGGCGTCTGGTGCCTTTTGCACAACTGTCCTTTTACAAAGACTAGTGGGAAGCCCACATAACCGATCTCTGCGGCATGTCCTACCCCAGAGACTACACCAGGGTGTAGCTGGGGAAAGAAGGACATCAACAAATCTCCAGGAGGAGGTGTTGAGCTGCGCAGGGCTATGCATCCTTCCGATGGAGACCTCTCTGTGGACACAGTAAAAGCTCTGGACGGGGAGACCCTAAGTGAAAGGGGTGCCTGGCTCAGGAGTCTCACTAAGCATAGAGGATGTTACTGGGTTGGAGAGAAAGGCCCTGGAAATAGAGGGAGGAGGGGACAGGAGCATGTTTGCTCATTTCCCCGGAGGACGGGCCCTTAATTAATCCACATGTGGTCCTGAGGAGTGTGGAGACCCCAGGGGACCTGATGGATAGTGCCATCACGGCATCCATTTTAAAGCCCCCCATGCTGCCCAGGGTCACATAGACAGACTCTTTGGGATTGAAGGAGTCTGTAGCAGGAACGCATTGGATGTGGAGTATATCCCAATCCCAGTCCTCCCATCTGGAAAAGCAGCAGCAACTCTTTGCCTCGTGTCCAGGGAGAAGACACGTGCAGACCAGGCTGGTGGAACCCCGAGCTTCGTCCCTCAACAGCGGGGACTGCTTCCTCCTGCTGTCTCCCCACCACTGCTTCCTGTGGGTGGGAGAGTTTGCAAACGTCATTGAAAAGGCCAAGGTTGGTATTAAAAATAAAAACGCTTTAGGTAACATCTCCTTTGTACACCCATGGAATGTTATTTCGGTTGTCAGGTTGTTAAAAAGCTTCTCAAGTGTGCCAGATGTGTCTTTCAAGTGCGAAGGGATGGGTGGTATTTCTTTTCGTGAATGTCTCTCACACAAGCTTCCATGAGGTGCTTACGGGAATGTTTTAGAAGGACTGTTACCTACACCTTACTCCTGTGTAAAAAAGGAACTTGTTCAACTTCAAAGTTCTTTTTTTTTTTGAGACAGAGTCTCAAGCTGTCATTGCCCTTGGTAGAGTGCCATGGAGTCAGGAGCTCTTGGGCTTAAGTGATTCTCTTGCCTTGGGCTCCCAAGTAGCTGGGACTATAGGTGCCTACCACAACGCCCAGCTATTTTTTGGTTGCAATTGTCATTGTTGTTTAGCAGGCCCGGGCCAGTCTCGAACCCACCAGCCTTGGTGTATATGGCCGGCGCCCTACTCACTGAGCTACAGGTGCCAAGCCCACTTCAATTTCTTTATCCTAGGTTCCTATGAAGTTCTCCCACAGACCTTTTGAAAGAGAGTCCTGCATAATAAAGCCCAAAGAATGGGTATTTTTTAAAAGCCCCCCACATGACCTATGGAATACTGAAGATTGAGAACTATTGCTCAAAAAAATTGATGCCCCCCATCCTTTATTTATAGTGTCTTGCTCAAAAAAATTGATCACCCGTCCTTTATGTATAGTGTCTTGCCTTTATTGAAAAGCTCCAATAGCCAGCATCCACCCACGACTGTGGTCACAGGTTTTTCTTGCAGACACAATGTTTCTCTTCTCTGATTTTAACATGTGCCACTCTGTCTAGATGTGGGGCTTTCTACCCAGGTAATTGTGTTCCTCTCTTTTTTTAGGCCTCAGAACTTGCAACTTTAATTCAGACAAAGAGGGAACTTGGATGTAGAGCTACTTATATCCAAACTATTGAAGAAGGGATTAATACACACACTCATGCAGCCAAAGACTTCTGGAAGCTCCTGGGTGGCCAAACCAGTTACCAATGTGAGAGTTTATTTTATTTCAGAAGTTGATTAGACTTGAGTCTCCTTTCTTTTCCCTTTGGTCATTGTTCTAAACACGTCAGGGTAAAATGTGATACTCTCCTATTGTTCTTATCCCCAAGCTGCTGGAGACCCAAAAGAAGATGAGCTATATGAAACAGCTATCATAGAAACAAACTGCATTTACCGTCTCATGGATGACAAACTTGTTCCTGATGATGACTACTGGGGGAAAATTCCAAAGTGCTCCCTCCTACAACCAAAAGAGGTACAGTGGGTGGGCTCCACCCTTCAATAAGAAGGTACATTGAAAGCACACTTTGCACAGGGCAGCCCATTAAAACAGACATAAGTGCCCAAAAGGGTACTGACTGCAGAGTGTTTACAGGTTCCTAAAGGGTATTTATGACTTCAAACCATTATTGCCATCTTAAATACCAACATAGAATTCAGAGTATTGTTCAGAGTCAGCAAGGATCACTGGAGGCTTTTATACTTTAGCAAAATGTAAATATTCCTTAGCCCTCTCTCTCGAAATTTTAATAAACATTAAATATTTTTCAGTCCTTCCGTTGGAGAAATACTAGATGCATGCATGTAGAATGTGTGGATTTGCCAAGTAGTGTGCTGTTCTGTTCCTCCCACACTGGTAAATATTTATTAATTACACACATACTATCAAATATGGTAAATGTTGCGGAAACAAAGAGAAGACGCACAATGACCTTCAATTTCACTAGATAGAAGAGTGTTTCTAACCCAAAGCTTGACTGAGGGTATGATATGTGTGGACATTTAAATGGGAAAAATCGTTACAGAAAAATAATCTGGAATAATTTTAAGGAGAAAGTGAAATTAAGTCTAGTTTAGAGTTAATTATAAATTGGTTTCGTAGCAGTACTGAGTACATTGGATATTTTTTTCTATTCCTGAGATACTTGATTAAAAAGAATATTTTCTCGCTCCATCCATGTAAACATAAAAGAGGTAAAGTGTCCCCTTTTTTTTAATGCTGCCTAGAGTTAAGTAAAATTTGGATTGCTGGAAATGATGGGAGAAACTATCCTAAGAGAAAGAATAGAACAAACCACGGACATGAAAATAAGAAATAGCATTACATTCATGTATACACACAGCAAACACTTAGTAATCAACATTTGGTCCCTACTATATGTATCTGTATGACGTAATCCAGGGGTCCTCAAACTGCGGCCCATGGGCCACATGCAGCCTGCTGAGGACATTTATCCAGCCTGCTGGGTGTTTTTGCTGCTGCTGCCTGTCCTGCTTAGCAGCCGACTCGTCCTGGGCCCGCAGTCCAGCCCTCCAATGGTCTGAGGGGCAGTGAACTGGCCCCCTGTTTAAAAAGTTTGAGGACCCCTGATAATCTCTGCCCTTAAGGGTCTTGGAATTATGTACAGGAGAGAATACATCAGAGTCTGGTATTGACGAAGCGTCTTTCTATGTTATGTGAATGAACAAGCAGTTGAGGGAGAGAGGGAGGAAGGAAGGAAGATGAGATGTACTTAAATGACTCTCTTATGAATCAAAAGTGGTTTGAGAGTTCAGAAAAGGGAGCATTAACTTGGGCATTTAGGACATTAGGAGAAAGAAATCACACCTCAGGGCAGAGGCTGCCATAGCAGAGCCGTGCCAGCTGATCAGACCTTGTAACTTTTCTGTGTCTGTATGGATTGCCCCATTAAGATCTGTATCATCACCCATTTAACTCGTTGTCAGCAGAGACCCTGATTCCACTCGAGCACATCTTTGAAGTTAACAAATTCTGTGCCATCTCCCCCAGGTACTGGTGTTTGATTTTGGTAGTGAAGTTTATGTGTGGCATGGGAAAGAAGTCACATTAGCACAACGAAAAATAGCATTTCAGCTGGCCAAGCACTTATGGAATGGAACCTTTGACTATGAGAATTGTGACATCAACCCATTGGATCCTGGAGAATGCAATCCGCTTATTCCCAGGTACTCCTCCAGCCCCCGGGTGGCTCATAACCAGATCTTGCTTCCTGCCATGGTCATCTTCTGTGTAGCTCTTTCTGGATTTAGCTTTCATAGATGATTACACGCACTGTCCCATGAATATTCGCAAAAAGAACCTTTCTTTAGCTTTTACCTAATTTGGAAACATGGATGTTATAATCTTCTGGAACTTGTTTTTACTTGTACTTAATTTCCCAAAGTGAACAAATGGTTCCCACCTGCAGCATTCCAACCGTGATCGAGGCAGATGAATAGCAATTGTTTAAACAAATTACACGCTGATCTGAAATGCGTCCTGGGATCTGGAATTCAGCCATTGATCTCAAGGTGCAAAAGCAACTTGTTTTCTTCTAATTTCATACCTTCCCAGCATAGCCCTTGATCTCCAGGATTTACTTGGCAGTAGGTGATGTTTATGCCTTTATGCCTTTGGTGGGGAGAATAGACTATTAAAATAAGGATTGCAATTTTAACACTCCCTATAGTGCGCTGTACTTTTTCAGGTCATTTTGGCAAATCAACAGGATATGCACAAACTCTAAGAAATATGATTATTTAAAAAAAGAATTCTTACAGCAAAGGATTATTGTTCTTTTTTTTTTAACTACCAGACCCCCTCCAAAAAAGTGCTTTGAAACTATATGTGCCATATAATAAACTAGAAATATACAGCACCAAACACCAAAGAGAAATAGATATGCAAAAAAAAGAAATATACATCCTATATAATAAATTAGAAATAAATATGCCAGCAGACTATTGGGAATCATGCAACCTCATTTAAATATTTTCCTCGACTTGGTATCCAAATATCAAATTTCCTATCTGGTTTTCTACTTTAAAGTCCAATTACTGATTGTATTATTAATTATCATGATAGAAATCATGAATAATAGTATCCGTGCAGTGAAAAGTTATAAAATCCTTTTTAAGCAAATGCGCATTTAAAGTTCGCACTGTAACTACTAGTGTTTTAAGACTGAACTCTGACTAAAAATATTTCATTTGGTGTCGTAAAAGAAAAAATAGTGTTGTGGCGTAAAATTTACATGATGACCAGTTTGTAGGTACCGGTGACATCATCAGAGATGTGCAGGTAGATGAGCGAGCACCTCACCCACTGGTTTTGAACATCTCTGAGACAGAATCAAATGAAGAGCTTTTTAAAAACAAAATGCATTTGTGGGGAGAGTTGTTTTCCGTTCATATGGGGTGGGGCTTCCATGTCAGTGTGTCTTATGAACTTATGAGGAATTTCAAGGTGCAGCCGAGATTACACACTCAACATCTTCTAAAATCAAGTAGGCTGAAATCACTGAGCCCAGTTCCAGCGTGTAAGTCAGGACAGGAGGTGGCGAAACACACCCGGCTCCCGTTCCAGGGTCACCCCCCGAATGCTGCAATCTTCTGGGTTCTTGCTTCAAATCATAAAAGGCAGGTGTCGAAAGCAGCAGCCAAGGGCCCTTTCCCTGGGCATCTCAGCAAGTCTGCAGAGTAGGGTTGACATGACAGACCGTCATTCAGGTCTGTGCTGATTAAAGTCCACAGCCTTTCCAGGCAACTGTGGAATCCCCGTCATGGCTGATCTTGGGGTCCTAACGTTGGGTGAGAGCATGAGGCAGAGGTCTCTGTGCTCTGCGCTTCCTCCTCTCAGTTTCCTTTGAAACGGCCTTTTTGATGTGCCTCAGCCAGAAGGCCTGAAACTGTAGTCCTGACCAAATAAGAGGTGACCCATGCAGGGTCACACCATGGTTCCAATTCATGCCATGAGGGAGAGGAACAACTGCAGGTTATTCCCAGGGCGATACCCCCCCCCACTACCTGTATCATACTTTCTCAGCTCCGCCTTTTTCTAAATTACCCGCCTTCTTGGCTACAGTGCCAAATTCTTTTTTTTTTTTTTTTTTTTTGAGAGACAGAGCCTCAAGCTATCCCCCTGGGTAAAGTGCTATGGCATCACAGCTCACAGCAACCTCCAACTCCTGGGCTCAAGCGAGTCTCCTGCCTCCGCCTCCCAAGTAGCTGGGACTACAGGCGCCCGCCACAATGCCCAGCCATTTTTTGGTTGCAGCCATCATTGTTGTTTGGTGGGCCCGGGCTGGGGATTCGAACCCGCCACCTTAGGTATATGTGGCTGATGCCTTAGCCACTTGAGCCACAGGTGCCGAGCCACAGTGCCAAATTCTAAAATCCTAAGACCATCCAAGACCTCCTGGTCAATCAGGGTCATGTCTTGAGCCCTTGTGCTCACCTGCCTGCCGCCCTGGTCAGTGGCCTAGAAATAAACCTGCAAAGAGTCGCCTGCGAGATACCAAAGTGTGTTCGCTTTAGTAACAGAGACGATCTCTGTACTCTGGAGAGCTTCCTCGTATCATGAGTGAAATAATAGAGAACTCAGAACTCGGTACTTCTTCACTGCATCTGTTAATTGAAGGGAAACTCGGGAAGCACCTGCAGGTGGCCGGGTAGCATAAAGTAGGTAAGGTGTACACGTGGCTCCCACCTGTCCTGAGATCCCAAAGACAAGAACATGCCAGAAGCAAGAAGAATCCAGGCCTACATGTTCCCTGTCACACTCAGGCACGTTGACCTCACGGACACACAGCCTTGCAAGGACTCAGGCTAAACCAATATCGCTCAAATCAGTGCAAAGAAACCACTTGTTTAGGGATGGTGATTGGTGGGATCACGCCTATGGTTCATCCTATAAGGGTACGTGTGAATCTCTCTAAATGTAGAATACAAAAGTCTTAACACAATAACTAAGAAAAAGACGTGAAGGCTGTGTTAACCAGTTGGATGAAAGTATTTCAAATTGTATACAGAATTGCATACACTGTACCCCATGACAGTATTAACGTACATTGCTATGATTTAATTAAAAAAAAAAAAAAGAAACCACTTGTTTTACATACCCCTTCTGCATTTTGAGTTTTTCTTTTTTAATAGCCTGTGTGTTTGTTTTTGATTCTTTGCTTCAGTATGGCTTAATCATGTTGTTGTTGTTTTTTCTTATCTACTTCCTACAGAAAAGGACAGGGGCGGCCTGATTGGGCCATATTTGGGAGACTCACAGAGCACAATGAGACTATTTTGTTCAAAGAGAAGTTTCTGGATTGGACGGAACTGAAGAGACCCAGTGAGAAGACCGCCGCGGAGCTCGCCCAGCAGAAGGTAGTCTGGGGGATGAAGCCTCAAACTCGGGGCTCAGTCTGAGTCCCAGCGGGAGTGGTCTTGCTGTGTAATGACCAAATTGGGGTGCTTAGCAAATTCATGGCCTCTGGGACTTGTCATTTCTCTGTGGTGAGAGCATTCAGAAACCTCTCTTCTAACTGTTTTGTAACATGCAATACCTGACTGTGTGCCATAATCACCTCCTGTGCATCAGGACACTGGAGCTTGTTTTTAATCTAATTGTCACTTTGTACCCAATGACCACACGCTACCCATCCTCCCTCATCCAACAAATACAAAGGTAAGAAAATACCAGATTGCACCCTACAAATATGTACGATGTCAATTAAAATTTCTTTAATTTTTTAAAAATAAAAAATAAACACACACACACAAAGAAAAGTGTCTTTGAAGCTAAGAAGGCTTCCGAGGACTCACTGGTAGAACAGCAAACACGTCTCCAGTTATAATCTAACTCAGGGAGATGAAAATAGCCCCGTTTGTGCCTGTCCTCAGACATCCCTGGCACTGTTGCAGCAACAGGTAGCCAGGCCTCCCAGTCTTTGCTGGACACATGGCCTCCCCTAAATGCAGTTAAGCACCAGAGACGAAGCGTGACAGCTGTGCTTCTGTGCACAACCACGGGCAGTCGAAACAGCATCCGGTGTGACAAGGAACGGCTGTAGACACAGAGGCAGCTGACCTCATGTTTTCGTGCTCCCTTGCAGGAAGACCCGAGGGCTGACGTGAAGCCCTACGACGTGACACGGATGGTGCCCGTGCCCCAGATGACGGTGAGCACCGTCCTGGATGGAGTCAATGTCGGCCGTGGCTATGGCCTGGTGGAGGGGCAGGACCGGAGGCAGTTCGAGATCTCCAGCCTCTCCGTGGATGTCTGGCACATCCTGGAGTTCGACTACAGCAGGCTCCCCAAGCAGAGCATCGGGCAGTTCCACGAGGGGGACGCCTATGTGGTCAAGTGGAAGTACATGGTGAGCACCACAGGTCAGTGACCGCCGACGTCCCCTTCAAGCTGAGGGGCTGGGGCCCAGCAGGCCCGCTGGAGTCACACCCTCCCCTGCAGGAGTGCCATGCTGCCCTCCAGTCACAGGCTTTTGGGAGCCACTTAGTAAACCCTAGAGATGAAAAGAAACGAGGTGGGTTCCTAACAAGCAGCCTTCCCCAGCCTCTGAGGCTCCCTTACAGAGATGGAGCTCAACTCGCACGCACACCAAGGCTTCCCGGTACCCTCCCTCCGTCCCCCGCCACTGTCCCCAGAGCTTTCCTAGGAAAGTGATGATTTGCCTCCAGATGATATTTACCATGTGGCTATGTGCTGCTTCAATTAAAGTCATTAAGTAGAACATATCTGGGTGATTTAAAGCGGGAACCGAGTGGTGGTGTAAGGTTGCAGTAAATACAGGCATGAAAGATTTATTTTAAAAATAACAGAAGCTGTTTCCTCTGAGAGGGAGAGCAGAAACAGTGCTTTGTGGGCCCAGGATAGTAAGTACATAGCCGGGACTAACCCTGATGCCCGTGGGCGAGGCACCCTCCGCAAAACCCTGGATGGGGTGCCACGCCCTAGAGCCAGGGAGGGGCAGGAGGCTGTGAACTTTGGAACTGTCTTAGTCCCTTTGCCTTGCCCAGAGGAAGCCCTGGCCCACAGCCCTCCTCCTGCCTTCTCCTTTAGGAGAGCAGGTATGTCCCAGCTGGGAGATTTCAACCCTTCAGAGAGTTTATTCACCTCTTTCAGCCCCTTCTACCTGCAGGTATGCCAGAGGAAGGGGCCCAGGGGCCGCAGGAAGCGCAAGCTGATCAGACACCTGCAGGCTTATAGCCATTTGATTTCTTTCCCGATTCACCCAAAATAAGTCTCCCACTGGCAACATTTCCTGAGCACCTACTCTGTGTGAGACGCTTTTTGTGGGGACTACATAAATATTTCAGACCCTGCCTCCAAGAAGTGCATGGTATTGACAAGGGAGTGAGTACAGGAAAAGGTGAGAGTGATTCGCCCTGTAGGAGGAGAGCCAGGTCCCTGGACAGTCCAGCAGCAGGAGCAGGCCAGGAAACCATGACCCAAGTGGCCCACGGGGGCATCTGTGACTGCAGGCCTAGAGGTCTATCCGGCTCCCACTGGCACGATGCAGGGGTTTACCCTGTGCTATAGCTGAGTGCCCCACAGGCCCTGCAGGACTTGTTCTGTTGCGATGCTAATTTCTCAGATTAAATAACCCACCCAAAGTCGCTCAGCTGGGAGAGCACAGAGGTGGACTCTCAGGTCCAACCCATCCTGTTCAAACACAAGTGTGGTGTGAGCTCACCCTGTGGTCAGAGAGCCAAACCCTGGGCCCAGCATAGAGCATGGGGAGCTGGCAGAGATGGTGAGGGCTGAGTCGGCAAGGAGGCAAACTTGAGGTTGGGCCGCTGAACATACCAAAGCCTCGGGGAAAGGGATCTCTCCAGGCCCAGCCGCTCCGGCCCCTCTTTCCAGGGAACGGCGGGGTGTCAGGCAAGGATCCCAGAGGGAGGGAACATTTCTCATAACTTAATTCCTCCCTTTCCCTAAGGACGCCATCTGGTCTGGAGGAAAGGCCACAGTTGTTAGAACCGTAGGCCTTGGGACTCAAAATCTCAGCCCTTCACTCATCAGCTGTGAGAGTTGGGTAAAGTCACTGTCTGCGCCTTGGTTTTCTCACCTGGAAAACAGGGGTTATTTATTACACCTGGCTCACAGGACACTGTCATCTGGCACATGTGACATTTGTTATGGTGTCAGCAAACGTTCACCGTGTAGGTGCAGGAAATAGTCATCACTGACAGTCTCAGCAGAAGCAGCATGATTATGGTGGTTAGCCTGAAGACGGGAGAACATGGATCTCCCCAGAAAAGTAGCCATTCCCAAAGAATCGCTAGAGTGGATTTAAGCTCTTTGCTCTGATGCAGAGGGGGCAAGCAGAAATAATAATCTCCCCTGCTGGCTGGCAATGAAGAATTTAGTGTGTTTGGAGGTGAAGTGGAGCGAATCTACTAACCTCTGGAACTGTGATCTGGGGATTTTAAGAAACAAACTTTATAGATACCCCGAGTTGCGACTCTGAAAGTGCTGAAAGGGAAATACATGTTTCAGAGAACAAGACAAAGGGGCACCACGGTTTGAAACTGAGTTACTTTCTTACCTTAGCCGTTAGTTATAAGAAAGAAATTCACTTACTGTGAATGAATAAAACTATAATCAAATGAATTAATTATAAATAAAACAGAGCTTTCTAAGACCTTCATGGACTATTTGCTTAGAGGCCCCTAGGAAATAATGATTTGAGCCAGGTGATATTTCTATTATTTCTATATTTCTTCCTGGTAAATCCAGTAATGTACTTTTGACAGCCAGCGTGAGCATCTTTATGAGGAGGGTTACAGCTTTGAAAAAGTCCAGCTGCAGAGAATAAAATCTGAGCTGGGAGCAGATTTCAGAGCGTCCCTCTGGGAGCAGAGCACTGCAGCCCAGTGGCATTTGAAACCACTCTGCAGCAGTCATGGAAGCCCTGGCCCCTCGGTAACACTGGCCTGTCTTCTCCATCACTCATGCCCCATACAGGCTGCGCTTGCAAACAGGACTGAGTCAGAGCTCTTCTGGGACAGGGACAGCAGGGAACACCAGCTGCAAAGGCGTTGAGTCCTCCTCTGGGGGGACATCAGCCAGCAGCTAGGGTCAGGTGCTCAAGCTACCCAGTGACTCGGGGTCAGGCTCCACTGGTGAGTGATCCAACTTGGGTTTCTATAGGTAGGCGGTGCAGGTGCGGGACTACATGACCATGAGCAGTTCTTCATAGCTCAGTTTTCTCTTGTTCTTAAACAGAACTTCTGGTAACGAACTTACTCTCCAAAGTATTGGATGGCACAATATATCAACACTTTACCTTAGACATCTGGTCAAGGCTGTAGACATAATGATCCAGAAAATTCTTCCTACTGAATGGTGGGTGGTATAAATTTAGGACTAAGTTTAGGTACATTGAGTAAAATTGTAAGGAAAATTAGTGAAATATCTGCTTTATGAGATATCTGTAAAATAATGATATTTTATTATACATTCAAGTCTACTTTAGAATGTTAGGATTTCATGTTGGTTATTTAAACCTGAATATACATTTACACAATCCATTTGAGTGCTAACAAATTCCTAGGTCTGTATAAACCGTTGGGATATATTTTAAGTATATCTTTCCCTAGTAACCTAGTTAACATAAAGACTTTCCTTCACTTGGAAGACTGGGATTGCCAATCAAAGACAAACTTTTGTTGCTATCTCAGTTAGCAGAAATTTCAAAAGAGTGGCTTCCAAATTAACTGTGGATATCTCTAACCTACTTACTGCTGGTTCCCATTTCACTTCAACCACTCAAAACCACATAAATGTGACCAGTCTAGACCCACAATAGATGGCATGAAAGACTATGGATGGTCAAATATTTTAAGAAATCATTAGAATCATCTATGAAAACTATGTTAAACTCTGCTAAAAGAAGGGCTAAAAATCAAATAAACATGGCCACTGTCCTTGTAAAAATTTAAACAAGCTCTCCTCTCACCCTTACGTCTCCATAAAACTATGATTTTGAAAGTGGGATTAGAACTGAGAACATTTGCAGAGATAATGGAACTAGAGAATCCAGTCGTTATCATTAATTTTGAACATGCACCATCACTGAGCACACTGGGACACAAGCCTTTGAGTCAGTCATGAAGGTGGCCCAGAAGGTTCTGTATCCTGATCCTTCAGGTCTCTGCACACCCACCTCTCCAGAAACCCCTTCTCTCAACAGGTAGTCCATTGCCTGCCGGTAGTCCTGTGGTGCTATCTCCCCCATCTTTTATCCTCCCAGCATCATCTCTATCTGAAACTGTCTCTCTCATCTATTTGTTTATTAGAACCAAAGTCTAGAAGTCGTCTGTCTTGTTCATTACTGTAGCCCCAGTATCCTGAAGAGTCCCTTCTTAGTGAGAATTGGTCACACAAGTGAACAAAAGGAATCTGGAGTGAGATATTTTCCTCGATGTAGAGATTTTAAGGTCTGCAGAGCCATCTACAATGCCCTTTTCACCAGTTAGCCCTCCGTGACCGCTCTCCAGAGCAAGCAGCCTAATCCCAATCTGTGAGATGCCAGTCAGAAAGGAGATCAGGACTTAATCCCAGATTATTTTATGAAAGTGATATGTCAGCAATTTATCTCCTCCATTTATGACAGAACTTGGAAACTTCAAAGCTTGCTTCTTTAAAAAAAAAAAAAAAAACTAGACTAGTTTTAACAGTCTACATTTTTTCCTTTAAGCCTAAAACTGGTCCAGCTGTTGTTTTTAATATCTTCTCCCTACCAGCTAATCTTCTGCCAAAGAATGGTATAATATGGAAAACACGTTTGTGTCTGGGTGAGCCATTGGTCCTGCTCTGGCGGTCACCAAATAGCTTAAGAAATCATTCTGTCACACACATGGAGAGATCTGCCGCCTCCCTCTGGGATGACAGGTGTTTTTCTGAGGCTAGAAAGAGGCTTTTCTGATCATGTTTCTCTACTCTGGAGGCTCTGGGGTGGTGAGCTGGAGAGAAAGGTGCTTTCTCTCTTCTCTAGGGTATGACCAACCTTCCCCCCAGTATGCCCCAGATTGTTAGTGACCCATCCGCAGCCCAGGCCCTGCAGAAGTGAGCTGGGTATGGCTGCTCCTCTGACCACTCAGCTGCTGACCTGGCCCTGTGCCCCTGTGTGTCCGCAGTGGGAAGCCGGCAGAAGGCAGAGCACTCGGTGAGGGTGGCCGGGAAAGAGAAGTGCGTCTACTTCTTCTGGCAAGGCCGGCAGTCGACAGTGAGTGAGAAGGGAACGTCGGCGCTGATGACAGTGGAGCTGGACGAGGAGCGGGGGGCCCAGGTGAGTCCTGGGAGCTGTTGAGCCCACCGAGACCCATGGCAAAGACCATGTCACCCAAAACACGTCCAGCCCTGGTCTGGCTCCTGGATATTTCAGGCTGTGCTTCCCATATATTTGATCCTCCTACCTATGATCTCAAACAAAATGTGATGTCTGTAAATAGTGAGTCCATGCCACAGGCACAAATGGACGATGAATAGTTTTAAAAGGTTTCTACCTAACTAATAAGGAATGGCAAATAAAATGAAGAGATGCCATCACCCACTTCTAAAGAATGGACCCAGGGCTAGCAAGGGGTCTTTAGGCCCCTCACATGCTGCCAGTGGGAAATGTGACTTGGAACAACCATCCTAAAGAGCAGTGTGGGCTCGAGAACCTTAAAATTAAATCAGATGTTTCTCTTACACAAATCTACCTGAAATCTATCAGAGATTAATGTAAAAAACATCATCTTCTGCTTTCCTCACAGCAGCACCAGTGGGTTTCTGGAACACTCCAGATTAGGTCACTCTTTTGCCCTCTGCCACAGAGACCGTGGTCTCAGTGGCTTCCTAGGGGATCCACCACCTTCAAGGTGGGCCTGGGCATCTTAGCAAGACCCCTTATTCTAGGCTGGGTGCAGTGGTTCACACCTGTAATCCTAACACTCTGGGAGGCCGAGGCAGGCGAATTGCCTGAGCTCAAAAGTTCAAGACCAGCCTGAGCTAGAGCAAGACTCCATCTCTAAAAAGTAGCTGGACCTTGTGGCAGGTGCCTATAGTCCCAGCTACTTGGGAGGCTGAGAGAAGAGGATCTCTTGAGCCCAAGAGTTTGAGGTTGCTGTGAGTTGTAAAACCATGGCATTCTACCAAGGGCGACAAACTGAGATTCTGTCTCAAGAAATAAAAAAGACCAAGACACCCCCCCCATTCTCTCCAAACCTTCCTCATTCTCCCTTCACTCTCTGACTCTTTAGTCATACTTTCCGCCATGTAAAATGACATAATCATTTAGTTTACTTATTTATTATCCATCTTCCCCCACAAGCAGTGCTCCCTGGGCTTACAATACCTTGGCCTCATGACCCCATTATAACCCCAGACCCTGGCAGGGACTGCTACCCAAATCCAAGGCTTTGTAAACATTTCTTTTTTAATCTTTGGATGATCTGTGCATTGGGTACCTCATCCTTTAGTATCAGCAAGTAAGAGCTGTCTCTGGGGCTTCTAGAAAACAGGACGCTATATGCAAGTATTTTTACGTCCTCAGATGCATGATCAACATTTAGCACGAAGGAAGACAGCAGAGACATTTTCTGCAGAAATAGATCAACACTCACCCAGGCCTCTAGAGTGCTACGAACTAATCATGTTCCCTAAAAAGAATGTTAAAGTGCGTCTTTTCTGCTATGGACTATATTTTAGAAATGGTCACTGGCAACAGTTGCATTTTAATTACTATTATTCCTAATGGTAATTTCAAGTACAACTCCTCCTTCTTATGAATAAATATGTTTTAATCATGCCTTCAAATTATCCTTAGAGGCCGAGTGCAGTGGCTCACGCCTGTAATCCTAGCACTCTGAGAGGCTGAGGTGAGTAGATTGCTTGAGCCCAGGAGTTTGAGACCAGCCTGAGCAAGAGGGAGACCCCGTCTCTACTAAAAATATAAAAACTAGGCATTGTAGCGAGCACTTATAGCCCAGCTACTTGGGAGGCTGAGACAAGAGGATCACTTGAGCCCAGAGTTTGAGGTTGCTGTGAGCTATGACGACATGGTACTCTAGCCAGGGTGACAGAGTGAGACTCAGTTTCAAATTAAAAGAAAAAAAAATCCTTGGAGTTTTCAGTCTCCATTTCTGTAGTTTGAGCATTTCATCAATTATCAATCCAAGGATGGAAAATTATTTTAAACATACAAAACACTGCCACTAGTGGGCGTGGTGGTGCACGCTTATAATCCCAGCTACTCAGGAGGTTGAGACAGGAGGATCACATAAGCCCAGGAGAGCAAGGTTGCAATGAGCTATGATGAGACCTCTGGACTCCAGCCTGGGTGATGAGGGAGACCCTGTCTCAAAAAAAAAAAAAAAAAAGGGCCCTAGGATTGATAATTTACCTTACAGTGAAAAATACTTTCTCAGAACTACCCAACCGCTAGCACGACAAAATATTTTCCTCTTTAAGGGAAAATGTCCTGCCAAGTGAGAAGGAGCTGACTCAACCCCAACACTGTTCATGGTGCAGGCACCACCTGGGGGAGAAAAAGGCTCACAGCACTAGGAGTGGGCTGCTATGTTGATTGCAAAGGACACATTTTCCCCCCCAGAATTACTAAGTTAGTGATTAGTCATTCTCACTGCCGAGAGGTCTACACCTTGTTTAAAAATAGGTTTAAAGCAACCCTGTTGCACTGATACCATGGAATCCCATTCAAAGATGAAAATCCATGCGTTAAAAGAATACTTAATGACAGAAAAACATTAGATGAAAAAAATAAGGTATAAAGCAACATAAAACAACACTCCCTATTTCATTTAGGGGAAAAACAAAAACAAAAACAAAAACATTTCTACCTGAACAATACTTTAGAAGGAAGGCCGCGGAATGGTAACAGTTTTCATCTTCAGATAATAGCGTTATCACTGCGTTTTGTTTGATGTTTTCCAAGTTCCCTACAATAGACACGTATTCTTTTGATGACTGTGAAAACTCTATCACTGTTACTGATTTCACCCTGTCTAAACTTGAAGGTCCAGGTTCTCCAGGGCAAGGAGCCCCCCTGTTTTCTGCAGTGTTTCCAGGGGGGGATGGTGGTGCACTCTGGAAGGCGGGAAGAGGAGGAAGAAAACGCCCAAAGTAAGTCACTTTTACTGCTGGGATTTGATTTTTTTTTTTTCCCTCCCCTGGAAGGTATTTTTATAGGGGAGGGGAATTAAAGTCAGTCTCCCTTCATATAGCTGTGGCTTTCACACTGAAAGCTGCCTAATGTTTGCCTGATAAATCAGCTTTATGGGGAGCCCATACCCCACCTCCTCCCTGTGGAATTAAAGACCTATCTTTGCAGTGCAGGCGGCTGGAAGATTTCTTCACCTGAACCTGAGTCCTCCCAGCGGCTGTCTACTCTTTTTAGAAGAAAAAAAAAAAATCAGTGGATCTTTTATTATAAATTATGAGATTTTTGTTGGCCAGCATCCAAAAAAAAAAAAAAAAGAAGAAGAAGAAGAAGAAGAAATTCTTAGCTTTAGAGCCTTTTAAAATATACCTGTTGTATGACTTATAAATTTTGGAAAAATGGTTTTTCTACATCGTGAACTTTTGGCAACCTGCTTCTGACCCCAGAAGGATTCGCTTTCTGGGATGGCAGGATGATCAAATGTGCTGCCCAGAGTGACTTCATGCTCTGCCTCCCTGTCCCCTTAGTCCCTGACTGCACAGGGGCCACCAGAAAGGGCTGCTTTCCTTGTCACTAGCTGGGGTCCTAACTCTGTGCCGCGGGTGCCCCCTGCAGGTGAGTGGAGGCTGTACTGCGTACGAGGAGAAGTGCCCATGGAGGGGAACCTGCTGGAGGTGGCCTGTCACTGCAGCAGCCTGAGGTCCAGGACGTCCATGGTGGTCCTCAATGTAAATAAGGCCCTCATCTACCTGTGGCACGGGTGCAAAGCCCAGGCCCACACCAAGGAGGTCGGAAGGACAGCAGCCAATAAAATCAAGGAACAGTGAGTGCTGTGTGAATGTGGCCAGCTCGCCTCCAGAGGGAGGGAGGGACACAGGCTGAGGCGGGAAGGGTTCCTGAGAGTCCCAGCTTGTGTGCTCAAAGTGACTTCGCCAAGGGGACAGTTATAAATGTGCTCAGAGACCTCTGACCTTTCACGGAGAAAGGACACGTGTCTCAGGCAGGACGTCCGATGGGAGGGCTTCCCCCGTGTCAGTAAGAGCGTTTTGGGGTTTGTCTCTGTAGTTCAGCTTTTGAGTTATAAATCTGGAGCCTTTTAATTTTGAAAGAAGAGATTTCAAAGATCTTTGGGGGGATTCCGATTTTCGGTTCTGTCAGAACAGTGAAGTGTTCCCAAAAGCTAAAGCCCATTTGGGAAGCCGTCTGTGTCAGGCAGGAAGATGTCCCCTTTTAGAGAACATCGGTCTCCCCCATTCTGGAAGGCAGCAACGGAGAATTGCTGGCCACCGTGCTCCACGAGTTGGGTTTTATTCCTCTCTCCCAGGCAGGCTGCCACAGTCAGCAAAGAGTGGACCACACTGAGAGAGTCCTGAGTGAGGACCTTGGGAGAGGGAGGACAGAGGGAGGTGAAGGCGGGAACCAAGGGAGCAGGCTGTGCTGGCGGCTCCCCACCCCAGTGGGCACTGCTCTGGCTCTGAGCTTCCTAGCAGCCCATGCAAAATGTGCACTGCAGCAGCCAAAGACAGCCCCGTGTTCCCCCATCACTCAGCAGGTGACTGAGTACCTTGGTAACATCCTCACAGGAAACATGAAGTGCTTCCTAAGGCCACAGCATGCCACCGGAGAGCGATTTGGTGAAACCTGCTCTCTGGTCACCACAACAGGACAGTGTGGGCATGTCCCCCAGGACTGCTCTGAAACTCCGTGCTGTGTGGAGAGGGTGGGCAGAGAGGATAATGGGGCAGGTGCCTTCTCCTCAGAGAGTGATGGCAGGTGACTCAGGGAGCCGTCCACAGGCGTTGATGGCCCATCAAACTTTTCACTTGGCCCACTGAAGAAAAACAAAACCACAAGCAACTCACTCACTTATTCATTCAACAAATACTTCATGAGAAGCTACTTGGAGCCAAACACAGACTTAGGAACCAGGGATTTGGTGGTGAATAAACCCAAGTCTCTGTCCCCGTAAGCTTATGTGCTAGCAGGTGAGAAGGAAAATCAACATAGATTGTTGTATGTAAAAATGTCTGTATTATTTTCATCACAGGTTTAATTGTACATTCCTCTCTAGGGGTCGAGCCAATCCCTCCCTCCCCAACCCACACTGAAGCCACAGAGCATGTTTCATGGCTGAGTAAGAAAGGCGGTTAGTTAGAGAGCACCAGAGAGAAGATGAACTGACCTGTAGATCTGGGCTGGGATAATTTGGTGCCGCCGATACCCTCCAGGTGTATGAAAGACAATTGGAGTTTCTCCCGTGCAGGTGTCCTCTAGAGGCGGGTCTGCACAGCAGCAGCAAAGTGACCATCCACGAGTGTGACGAAGGCTCGGAGCCTCTGGGATTCTGGGATGCTTTAGGAAGAAGGGACAGGAAGGCCTACGACTGCATGCTTCAAGGTAACGCCGCAGTCCATCGCCTTTTAAAGCTCGTTTATTGAAATTAACTTAGTGCTAAATGCACTAGAACTTCTGTAAGTTGACCACCCAAGAGACTGTGGCCAACTGGTCAACATTCCTGGTCAACCTAAGGAGCTAGGCCTACTGTGCTGAAATGCACATGTGATGCGTGTTTGGTCTATGAAAATTAGATCAACTTAAGGAGGTGGTCAGCTCGGCACCTGTAGCTCAGTGAGTAGGGTGCCGGCCACATACACCGAAGCTGCTGGATTCAAACCCGGCCCTGGCAGCTAAACAACAAATGACAACTGCAACCAAAACATAGCAGGGCATTGTGGCGGGTGCCTGTAATCCCACCTACTTGGGAGGCTAAGGCAAGAGAATCACTTAAGCCCAAGAGTTGGAGGTTGCTATGAGCTATGACGCCACAGCCCCTCTACCCAGGGGAACAGCTTGAGGCTGTCTCAAAAAAAAAAAAAAAAAAAAAAGGAGGCGGTCAGTGAAGCGTTGTGGTCAGCTATGAAGTTTCAACTGTATATATATTTATATCTGAGAGAAATGCCTAAAAATGGAACTGCTGAGCTTAAGTTGCACATATAGCACTTATAGCACATATCAACAAGTGTCCCTCAGAACCTCCCCGCCAAGTTCATTCTCACCTGCAATACACAAAAGCGTTCATTCCCTTACACAATCATTAACTCAGCAAATTCTCCATTCCCTATTTGCGCAATTAATGAGGGAAAACAGATAGCTAAGCATTGTTCTAATTTACTTTTTCAATTAGAAGTACCACGAAATACTTTATGTATAATACGCATTTATATATTTTTAATATAAACAGTTTTAGCCATTGGTACATTGTACTTTGGTGAATGTTCTTTGCACATTTTGCACATTTTATTGAGATATTTATCATTTCCTTATTAAAGATGTTAACACGTTGATATAAATATTTCCCATTTTGTTACCTGCCTTTTCATTTTTGAAAAATTTTTGCACTATAATTTCTTCCTTTTTATATAATTAATGCATAAGCCTCTTCCCTTTTGATTCCTTCTTTTAATATTGCAATTACAAAGGCCTTCCCCACCTCGAAGCTCCGATAACTCCCACGTTTCTGCCAATGCTTTGAATCACTTCACGTTTTACGTTAATTCTTTGATCCGCCTGAAATTTACTTGGATGCGTATAATGTCTTTAGCCTTGTTCTCTTTTCTTTCCAAGATCCGGGGAGTTTTAACTTCGCACCTCGCCTGTTTATCCTCAGCAGCTCCTCTGGAGACTTTGTAGCCACAGAGTTCACGTACCCCGCACGCGCCCCCTCCCTGATCAGCTCCATGCCCTTCCTGCAGGAGGATCTGTACAGTGCGCCCCAGCCAGGTAAGGCCTGCAGGGGCAGCTGTGCAGGGCGGCAGACACAGCCCTCCCACAAAGCCTTCTGGTTTTACATTAACACTTCTGGAGCAGCTGCAGCTTGCCGAGCACACTCCCAGAATACTTGCTTATATTAGCTCACTTAATCTTCACACCTATCCCAAAAGGAATGGGGATGGAATCCACCACCCATCATAGTATAAGGCCCCAGTCTCCAGCCTCCAGGGTACAGACTCATGCCTGCTGGGAACCGGGCCACACAGCAGGAGGCCAGCACAGGGCAAGCAGGGAAAACTTCATCTGTCTTTACAGCCATTTCCCATGGCTCTCCACCTCTGTCACATCCACAGCAGCAGCAGATTCTCGTGGAACACAAACCCCACTGTAAATTGTGTGTGCAGGGGATCTAGATTGTGTGCTCCTCATGAGAATCTGATGCCTGATGATCTGAGGTAGAGTTGAGAGGGTGAAGCCAGCACCGGGACTGTCTAGTTGCAGGGAAACAAGCTCAAGGGTCTTAGTGATTCTGCGTGATGGCGACTTGTGGAATTATTTCATTTATATGTATTACCATGTAACAATAATAGAAATAAAGTGGGACAGTAAATGTAATGGCTTGAATCATCCTGATACCTATCATCCTCTGCCTCCACCGTCTATAGACCATGAAGCTGGTTCCTAGTGCCAGCAAGGCTGGGGACCTCTGGTATAAGGGATGGAGGCTCAGGTGCTAAACTCACCCAGAGACAGCTTTTAAGACCAGGGGAGCCAACAGTGGCATGCCGGCAGCTCTGCCCACCGTCCTGCAGTTCCTCTGTCTTGTTGCCTCATACACCCCAGTTGCCTGCCTGTGCTGCAGTCGCCTTGTTGGCTTTGAGACAGACAGAAGGGGAGAGGAAAGGGGCCACCATGGCGACATCTCTACCTTTCATTGGTTAAAGACTTTTCCCAGAAGTCCCAGCTGACTTCTGCTTACATCCCATTGGCTAGAGCTGGTCACATGGCCACCCGGGCTTCAAAGGAGCCTGGGAAAGCAGATGGCAGAGTGGGGTCGGGGACTGGTATTGGCTGAGTTAGTCAAAGAACAGTCTCTGCCATACCAAGGCTCCACGGAGGAGCCCAGGCCTTCTAATGCCAAGGTCAGGGCTGTTTCTACCAGGCCACCCTCTCAAGACAGAAGCCCCTATGCTCTCCGTCTGTTTGGGATGGTCTCAGGAGGCTGGGCTGATGGCCCTTCCTGCCCTCCCTCCATTCAAGTCCAAGGTCAGCTGCCCCTTAGCTCACGTTTGTTCCTTCTCATGTTACAAGAGCCCTGAGCTGCAGTTCCTTTACAATGGCAGCCTGAGCTGCAGTTACCCTGAACTGCAGTTCCTTTAAAATGGCAGCCCAGGTCACCGCTTAAAAGCTTGACCAGTGCCCATGTCTTACTGTGGGAAATACTAGTAAGTGTCCTGAAAGAGAGGCTGCTGCCCACGACAGGGTGTGAGCCTCCACTGAGCTTTTATCACCCTGTGGTTTCCACACCATCCTGAAATGCACAGCAGGAACAGACACATGGCGGGCCGAGCCAGCGGGGGCTGGAGCCCTCTTGCTATGTAATGGAAGAGTCAGGCCGATGATGTGAGGAGGAGAAAAAGTAAGGAGGAAGAGACACAACAGTTTTGATTCTTAAAGCCCATTTCTCTCTAAGATAACTGTGGACGCATCATCACTAACCAGTCAGAGCTGGGGTGAGAGTGCCCGTGACCTGGACAGCAAGTGAGCTGTGCTCTTGGGAGATAAGTGGTGCTGACAGCCTCTTGAGCGTGTTATCTGCTCCTCTCTGATCACAGCCCTGCCAGTAGCCAGAGGGGGCCACAGTGGGCCTGCAGTTGAGCTGGGCAAAGAGAGGTGGACCTGGAAAATAGGAATGAAAGACCACCTTGTTGAGACCACCTCACTCTCCCTAGAGGCTTCTCCCAGCTGAACTTCTAAAGGGGCAGGATGTTCGAGGTGCCCCCTGTTTGCTCCTTTGCCGAGATCTTGCCCTCTGACCCAGCACAGGGAGACAAGCCATCCGTTAGGTCTGGGGAAGGGTGAGCTGAAAGCATCCTGAAAGGAACTCCTGACTGTCCTGTTCCGTTGCAGCGCTGTTCCTCGTGGACAATCACCATGAGGTGTATCTCTGGCAAGGCTGGTGGCCCATTGAGAACAAGATCACCGGCTCTGCCCGCATTCGCTGGGCATCTGACCGGAAGAGCGCCATGGAGACAGTGCTCCAGTACTGCAAAGGTGAGCCCTCCCGGGTGCTGAGCCCCCAGGGCGCAAGGCAGGGAGCAGGGGAACCCTCCAGCACACCAGCCAGCAGCTCTCTGGAGCCCCAGACCCCTTAACCCTCTCTGTGAGTGTCAGCCAGCCTTAATAAAGCCTCTTGGCCTTAGGTGATTCTCTTGCCTCAACCTCCCAAGTAGCTGGGACTACAGGCGCCCTCCACAAGGCCCTGCCATTTTTTGTTGTCATCATTGTTGTTTAACAAACCCAGGCCAGGTTCGAATCCGCCAGCCCCAAGGTATGTGGCCGGTGCCCTAACCCCTGAGCTATGGGTAATTTTTAAGCACATTCTCAGCTGCTTGCATGAAGGAGAACTAGTTTTTTTTATTGTGAGGCCATTGAACTTGCTACTCTCAAGATTAAAGGCTGCCTCATGGAGTTCCCCGGACAGATTAAAACCCTAGTGCACTCAGGATTAATCGTACTGTGAAACAAGCCTGCCTCCACTGTGCTCACTGTCACCAGGGCACTGGGGAATAGAAGTCTCCCCCCAACTGCACAAATGGCTAATGCCAACCTTTTTATTATTCATTATTGCTTCTAGTATTACATCCAAAAAGAAAGACCTCCAGTAAGTTTATGGGGTTTTATTACACTGTACACCTGAAATCCATTTGTGGTCTTTTATACAGAAGGTGCCAGAAAAGTGTATACACAGTTTAAGAAAGTAAAAAAACTAGTTAAATCATAATACTCAGTACATACCAATAACAAAAGATGAACGCTGATGTCAAAGGTAACTTGAGTATTACAGATTTAATAGTTTTTTCCTTTCGTAAAATGTGTATATATGTATTTTTTTGGCACTTTTTGCATAAAATGAAGAGGCCAATAATTAATTTCTCATCAAATTTTTATGATTCCATTGATATTTATTTCCCAAGTATGTATCATGAAGTCTCTTCCTGAAAAGTCCTTTAGTAATAAATAAATTATTACCAAACATTATAGCTAAAGTAAACTTATAAAACGCTATCCTTAGTTATCTAATTATATTGAACTTAATCCCACATTAAAGCAAGAGGGAAAAAAATGCCCCATCTACCATATTTCCCCTAAAATAAGACACTGTCTTATATTTATTTTTTCTCAAGAAGACACACTAGGGCTTATTTTTAGGTGATCTATTATTCTCCATGCCAAAATGCATCACTAGGTCTTATTATCTGCATAGCCACGCCCATCACTAGGTCTTATTATCTGCATAGCCACGCCCATCACTAGGTCTTATTATCAGGGTAGGGCTTATATTTAACAAATGCATAGAAATCCTGCTAGAGTTTATTTTGGGGGTAGGTCTTATTTTGGGGAAAACACAGTATAAACCACAGAGCCACACTTTCCCCCTTCCAGGGATCCAGGAGCATTTTGTTGGGTAGAAGTATAGAGCCAGGTTGATTATATATCACTCTTACAGGCATAAAGTTAACATTTCATAGAAAAAGTATCCACCTGTTGTCATGAACCACTCATAACTTGCATTTTAAGCATAAAGGCAAGAGTTTGAACAAAGAGGGAAAAAGATTTCCAGGGCACCCAGAGAGATGGCGTCCTTGATGACGTTCATATTCTGTGTAACTACAGGGAAAAATCTCAAGAAGCCGCCCCCCAAGTCTTACCTTATCCACGCCGGTCTGGAGCCCCTGACATTCACCAATATGTTTCCCAGCTGGGAGCACAGAGAGGACATTGCCGAGATCACGGAAATGGTGAGCGTGCTTACCCGGCCTAGGAAGGAGGCTCCCCCACCTTTTGGATTTGTGGGTTGACTTTTACCTGGGGGAGAAGCATCCAACTGCACTTGCAAAGTGAGAAAATATTTTTCTTTTGCAACATGTTAACAAGTCTACGTGGAATTAGCTTAGGAAGGGGAGAAGCCTGACAGGAAATCAGTTATACCATTTCAGTAATTTTTCTACACATGGGACTCAAATTGTACAATGTACAAGCAAAGGGGAATTTAATTACTTTAAAGACTATCTATACACAAAGGCTGCCAGCTCCTCAATCTGTTAGCTAAAAACCTGCTTGGTATTACTTCTCAACGTTCCTATAAGGCACAACCACATCCTCACTGTTTCAGACATCACAAAACAAATCGGCGGTGATGGGTCTCTATGTCCAGACAGCTAAACAAACGGGTGCTGTCTTTTATGAGACCACCTGGTATTTTCACACGAAGACATTTATCGTAACTTCTGTCTACCAAAATGTATTATCATCCAGAATGTTTTATGGTCCGACCATACAGAAAGGAAGCTTACTACAGCTATGTCAAATTTCTTAATTTATGGGTTATTAAAATTGTTAGTCCAGTGGTTTTTTTTCAGGGGGGAGGGATTGGTGGGAAAGAGATGTTTTACATTTTGATTTTGTTACTGTGTAGGAGAGCCACTTTTCTGGGGGAAATGACCTGAGTGTATTTTAAAGGAAATCTGAGTAATGGTAAAACAAAGTTCACTGCTGCCTAGCCAGGGAGACAGCCTGTTTGAAAATGCAAATACTACAACTCCCTCTGACCCATCTCCTGTTAGCCACATGGATTGGATCAGCACAGGGAAAGGGCTTGGCACAGCCAGAGCAAGATGGCTCCATTCCTGATAAATATGGGTTCAGGAACCCTAAGGCTCTAGGGATTACAAGTCCTGGGGCTGCCTCTTGCAGTCTAAGTTCAAGGACATAAATTGTGATCCCTTTTCTATATCCACTGCAGGTCATGAGGGGTCAGCAGGGAGCCCTTTGTGGTCATGCAGGCCTGTGGGACTTCAGCCAGAGAAGGGTCAGGTCTCCCGCCCCAGCAAGTTACAGAAACAATTCTCATTCACTGAGCGTTGGCTCTGCCCTGGACACTACAGACACATTACATTTATTTCCTCATTTAATTATCACAACAGTCCATCAAGATCTATCTTATTATTATTATCTCCACTTTTTCAACGCGGATGCAAAAACTTCAATTCACCTGCCCAAAGTGAAGTCTCAGAGTCAGCGGGTAGAATAGCCGGTACTCCGCTGCAGGCAGGTTCACTCCAAAATCCGCCTCTTGGACCATTGGTCTATCCCTATATTGCCAACTTCGGTGGCAACTCTAGGTCATTCATTCCCTTCATCTGCCCACTCAAGAGGAGAGCTGCCAATCCAGGGTCCCAAGGGTTCTGGGGGAAGATAATTCACAAAGAGTAGCCTGTTAAGACTAAATGCACACAGTGGTTTGGGGGTATACAGGGAACAGGGCGGGGAGGAAAGCTCGATTCTACCCCAGAATATCCTAGATGCATTTTCTTACCTTATTTTTCTATCATGGATTAAGACGTGGGACCAGGAGATGGAGTGTGATTTCTTTTACAGTTGATTAGTTTTTAATATTTTTGAACAAACTCCATTAGCTAGAGGGTTCTGGGGTTCTGACTTCAATCCAGTCATCTTAGTCCGTCATCTACTCCTGGAAAGGTCCCTAAATGTTTTTCAGAGGGAGGCAGCCCTGAGACGGGATGTAGTTGAAGCTCTGAGGCAGGGTGAGACAACGTGAATGGGGGAGAACTGCAAGGGCCTTGGGCCCCAGGCTGTGTACAAATGGCACAGGGCTGTGGCTTCGCAAACACTCGATAAAGCACTTTCAGACGTGGGACACCCAGTTCTCCTCCCTGCCCCCTCCTCTCTAGGATACAGAAGTTTCCAATCAGATCACCCTGGTGGAAGACGTCTTAGCCAAGCTCTGTAAAACCATCTATCCGCTGGCTGATCTCCTCGCCAGGCCCCTCCCGGAAGGCGTGGATCCTCTCAAGCTGGAGATTTATCTCACCGACGAAGACTTTGAGGTGAGTGCCTCTTCAGCTGGGGTGGTAACGAACCGACCCAGTTGGTTCAAGGGTCCTTTTCTGATCCACTGGGCGTTTCCTCCACTTCTTCCAGTTTGCACTAGACATGACGCGAGACGAGTACAGCGCACTGCCCGTGTGGAAGCAGGTGAACTTGAAGAAGGCGAAAGGCCTGTTCTGAGTGGCAGAGATGACGGTGGAACCTCAGTGGTCACCTTCCGTACCACTGGGCCAGGGAAATGGATATTTATTTTTGGACGAGTATTTTTAAACGAGTATTTTTTAAGTCCGAGTTTTCCGAACCTGACCGTTGTTAACCACTCTGCTCGTCCTGGAGCTGTGTATTTTGTAAATGTTGGAGAGAACTGTTGGGAAACTTCCTTTGCACAATTCGGCAGGTAATGTTAATAAAAGTATCTGTTGCGTGCACTTCAGCGGTGATTCTTCGACAGCTGCTCTATCACTGCCCTCCTGTTCCAGCTAAGCATTGCCTTTTTTGTTGTTGTTGTTTTTTGAAGCAGTTTCTCTTTCTAAAAAGTGTTGTTTTGATAGTTTGTGGATTCTAAAAATTATATATATATTTATATAAACACCGTATAGTTCAAATATGTATTTAAACAAAGCAATATGTATTCATTCACTTCTGAGATTTTTTTTGGGGGGGGTGTCAAAATAATATTAAGAGGTAGACGGAGTTGCTCCCCTTCAATTAACTCTGCCACCAGTATGGATCTTCATACGCGTTCTGGAATGTTCCCTCCAGCATTCGGTGTGACTTGTTCTGAGTACTGCTTCCGGTGCTAACATGAACAAAGAATTTGTACTTCATGGCATGGCCTCTGAAGAATCTATGTGAATCAACCTTTCTACCTTAATATCTACCCCCCCCAAAAATGTATAGTGCCTTGTTTTTATGTACAGTTTATATACAGAAAAGTTTGCTCTGCGTTTTCGATGATGGTTTGGAACGGTATCTACCATTTTACTCTCAAATAGCAAAAATAAAAACATCTCAGTTTCTAACACCCGTGGTAACCATGACACCTGTCATTTGGGGACAGAGGACTCCAAAATAAAAGCATCAGAACAAACACCGCTGATCGATTGGTTCAGGTGGAATCTTAAGCATGTTCTTCCCCCCCCCAAAAAATTATTTTTTGTAAATGTTGACCTAGAACGAGGATTTTGCCATGAAGTGTCAACTGCTGTAACTCTGAATTGGGTGTAGGCAAGTTTTGATTACAGGGTCATAAGATTAAATAGCTATTTGTCCCGTAAAATTAGTTCTCAGTACTATATGGAAGATGTATTTTTATAAATCAAGGGAAAGTTTTTTAAACCCACAACAGTGTCTACAGTTCAATTTCAGGATCTCAGTGCCTTTTTAACAAAATTAAATGTATAAAGGATCCTGAAAACTTAAAAATGAGTTAGAAAACTCCTCACAAGCTATGTTCTTAAAATACCAAATCCATGGTTTTGATTATGTTCTACAGACCTACTACTATGACTTGTTACTGCCTCTCCCCTTCCCGTGTTAGTTTGCATTTAACATATTTGATCACAGCACATCTACCTGAAACTTCAGAACTTACTTGGGGCCTGTAACTTGCTTCTGGTCCCACCGCTCTGTGACTGTGCAATGATGTTCAGTGAGGCAGTCACTGAACTTTTCTGCCTCGATTTCCTTAAAAGGAGACAATACTAGGTAACCCTGTGTCCAGCACAGGATTCGGAGCAAGTAGGAAGTGGAAAGTCTGGAAAATTGCCCAGTGCTAGATTTCTGCTGGTTTTGATGCTGTCTTGACAGTCGCTAAGGTAGGAAAGCAAGAGAGTTCAAGTTAAGGAACATCCTCACACACCGAGAAATTAGGGATTAAACCAAAACCAGCAGAAGGAAACGGAGAGAGACAGAGGTTCCCAGTCTGCATCCCGTAGGTAACGGGCAAAGAGGAGCAGAGAAATGTCCCTAGGTCAGTAGGGCAGCCTGTGGAGTGTCAGAAGAGGGCGGGGAGGCTGCCACCGTCTGCAGCAGGGAGGGACGTCCCTTGAATCCTTAGGTACACAGAAGGAACTCAGGTTGCTGTAGGAACTTCCAGTGGAGAGTCTGCTGTAGTTAATAAACAGGACGGGTGTCATCACTAATGCTCACTACCACCAGATTGTTCCAAAGTGCTTTAAAATTGTGTATATCTACCTGTATTAAACATTGTCCCCCAAGGACGTGCTGGCCGTCTGCTTCTTGACTCTTCTTGGTAAATAAGACGCCCTTCTTGTGATGCCTTTTGACTTTGTGCTTCTTTTTCTCTGAGTTGTTTCCTGCATCTCTTTCCTGCCTACAGTAACAGAACTACAGCCTTTCTTTAGGTGGTTTTCTGATCCTTTGCCTCCCCTAGTTGCCACCTTTGACCTTGGCGTACCGGGAAAAGACCTCGCCTAAGAACTTGAATGGCTACATCGTAAGACGCAGCCCACGAAGTTGCACTTGGCGTTTCAGGCTTTTCTCCACATTCTCCCCTCACCCCCAGCAAACCCCTGCTTTGGCTAAACGCAGCAGGCTCAGGGAAGTGGGGTTCCCTGAATTTGCTGCTTTTGAACTAAAGGAATTGTGGGGGAGGTGATGTTTGGTTGAGATTGAGATCGGAGGTGCAGGGGGGTAGATGGGACGTTGGGTGGGTTGTGAAGCTTTGGACAAATGGTACGAGTATGAGGGCCCTTCCAGAGTCAAACAAGCATCCCTGGGCCAGAGGAAGGGACAGCCTCGTCAGGAGCACACATCTTTCTCTCCTAGTTTAAGATTTCTGCCCCACTCTTCAAATTCCCATTTTGGTAAAGGAAATGTATTCCAGACACAGCTTGAGGATTCGCTTTGATGGTTTAGTTCTGTTATTTTTCTGATCATGAAATTAATAGTTTATGTCCACAGAGAGGCTCAGGCACAAATGTTGACAGCAGCACTATTCATCACAGCCCACGCCTGTAAACACTCCACGTGGCCATCACTGGAGACATGGACCAAGTGCAGGACCTCTGTAAGACTAGCCAAACCGTCCCACAGCCAGTGGAGCGGATCTCACACCATAACACACGTGATAGGCACATAATACACGCTACAACACGGAGAGAGCTCCGAAACTCAGTGAAAAGGCTACCGACGGAAGGCCACATACTGTTGGATTCCATTTACACGAAATTTCCAGAACCAGGCAAATCGACTCAGAAAGTAGATCAGTAGTGGCAAGGGATGGAGTGAGAGGTGAAGGATCTTCTTGGGAGATGATGGAAAGGTTTTAAAACTGGATTGGAGTGTTGTTGCCCAACTCTGGGAAGGTAATAAAACCTTCTTAGGTATTGATTTGTTGACTTACAGGAGTGTATTTTATGGCACACACACACATACACAGATACGTTATACCTCAAGAAGGCAGTTCAAAATACAGTAACATCTGATCTGGTGAAAAATGCCAACGTGACAAGGATCTATAATTCAGGAATTAAAAATTATAATCTTCCTTCCCAAATATTAGTCTAAGTATGTTAAGAACACGATTTATATTCTCCTAGACTTGCCTTTACGTCTACTAATACTCATGTGTGAGCTCATATTTTTTTAAAGAGAAAAAGTGTGTTCTGCGTCTTAACTTTCCTGTTAACAGTAGGTGGCAGACACTGGTCCTCAGATGTTTGTTTATGTGTGTGTGAGGTCTGCGATCACAGCAGCCTCAGAGGGAAGACTTAAATCTAGGATTTCCCAGGGCCCCCGACCCTACCGGCCGCCCCCAGCCCCCTGAGCCATTCTTCATGCATTGCTGAGGGTGAACAGCACCGAGGGAGGGCCCAGAGAGCGAATTTGAGGTTCCTTTTCAGAAGCTTGATCTCCGATCCAGAGTAAGGCTCAAAACGGACCTCTGTACAAAGACAATAACAAGTTGATAAAGACCCAGTGCCCTGCTTTTTCTTTTTCTTCAAGATCAAGGTAATGATGCAAATGTAAATCATTGAAAATTAACTACATTGTGATGGCAGTTGGTCGCCCCCCAAACTTCCTACTTTTAAAAAGTAAATGCATTGCAAGCACATCAGAGCTTTCCCCGTCAGAGGAAGGTGACGGCTGCTCCAGGCTACCTGCAGTGGATGTGCAAGGATTGGGTCAGAACGGTGGATTTGCAAGGCAAAAACATGAAAGGCTTTCTGTGCCTATAATCAGCACTGTGGATTTGCTATGAGCGTTGAGCTTGCGTGGAAATAGCCCACTGGTTTGGCAGTGTATAATGCTGATCCTTGGGGATTAACAGAGAAGGCAGATTAACAGGCCAGCATCCCTCCTTTCTAATAACGAACCAGCCATCTATGGAGCTTTTCTATCTGTGCTGCTGAGATTGAAAAGCAAGCAGCAGGGAGAGAAATGAACGCAATGTAACATCAAAGCAGGTGGTGTCTCTGACACCCCAGCCCCAGTGTCCCCTCACGGCCTCAGCAGAGCTGTGGGAAATGTTGCTGACCTCAGATGCCCAGGAGTTCTGGACGTCTCTTAAGGGATATATTGGAACTGACTCGTATTATCTGGAAATTGACATCAATTGTCTATTATTAAATCTCACTGAATTATTAAGTCCAACTTTACCATCTGAACAGCGTTTTAGCGTTCATCCTGAAATAGCTAGAGCATGATTTGTTAGCTCCATAAAGGTAAAGAAATATTAGCCAACAACCAACCAAGGAGCCTTATGTTCATACGGAAGCCAAGAAAAATAAAACAGGACAAGGATGAGGGGTAGAGGGGCAAATATAACTGGTATTTTTTTTTTCAGTAGCAGTTTCCTTTGGGGAGACAGAGCCTTACTCGAGTTGCCCTGGGTAGACTGCAGTGGTGTTATCATAGCACAGCAACCTCAAACTCTCGGGCTCAAGCGAGCCTCTTGCCTCAGCCTCCCAAGTAGCTGGGACTACAGGAACCCACCACAACCACAGCACCCAGCTAGTTTTTCTGTTTTTAGTAGAGACAAGATCTCATTCTTGCTCAGGATGGTCTCGAACTCCTGAACTCAGGTGATCCACCAACCTTGGCCTCCCAGAGTGCTAGGATTATAGGTGTGAGCCACCATGCCCAGCCTCAAATGATCAACTTTTTAAAAAAATTTGGTCTTTTGACCGGGCATGGTGGCTGATGCCTGTAATTCTGGCACTCTGGAAGGCCAAGGCAGGTGGATTGCTTGAGCTCAGGAGTTCAAGATCAGCCTGAGCAAAAGTGTGACTCCATCTCTACCAAAAATAGAAAAATTGTGGCAAAACCATGACTTGAACCCAAGAGCTTGAGGTTGCTGTGAGCTATGA